TGCCCCGCCTACACACATCCTGACAGCCACATCCGCGGGCCGGATTAAAAGGTCCGCGCGGACTTTTGGGGCTGCCAACCGAGAGGAGGCAGGGGAGCGGCCGACCGAGAGGAGGGAGGGGAGCGGCGGCCGACCGAGAGGAGGGAGGGGAGCAGGCGCCCGGCACACAGAAGAGCCGCATTAGAGTGGGTAAAGAGCCGCATGTGGCTCGCGAGCCGCGGCTTGCCGACCACTGTCCTAGAGTAACAGCCTGTCTCCTAGAGTAACAGCCTGTCTCCAGGAATCTCCATCATGCTCTTGAGACTGTGCTGGGAGACACAGCAAACCTTCTGGCAATGGCACATATTGATTTGCCATCCTGGAGGAGTTGGACTGCCTGTGCAATCTCTGTAGGGTCCAGGTATCTCCTTATGCTACCAGTAGTGACACTGACCTTAGCCAAATGCAAAACTAGTAAAAACAGTCAGAAAAGATGAGTAGGGAAAAAAATGTCAATGGCCTCCACCTGTAAAACCATTCCTGTTTTGGGGGTCATCTCATTGTTGCTCATCTAGTGCACTTGTTGATAATTTAATTAACACCAAAGCAGCTGAAAGTGATTAACAACCCCCTCTGCTACTTAACTGACCAGATTAATATCCCAGGAGTTTAATTGACTTGATGCTATACTCTGATAAAAAGTGTTCCTTTAAGTTTTTTTGAGCAGTGTATATGACCTGTAGGCTATTGGGCGCCACATCTAATTTTTCTAACCTGATCATCACAGTACACTGTGAAAGTAGTTCAGCCCCTTCCTTAATCTATAGATTTTTCACACACATTCACCGGGTTACTACTATTTGTTTATTGGTTTAGTTGTCAAATATAGGGGTCACACTGCAAAATATCGAATTTATATTTTTAACATAACAGGGAAATTAATGCACCTGAAGTGTTTGTTCTAAATTAACATTTTGCTCTAAATTTTGTACAGAGGTTTATATGACTACAAAAGACCACAGAAAAACAAATTAGTGCTTGGTGGGATATAACATCCCTAGAGCAATATATACAAGAAAATATGACACCAAGAAGACTTAGGCGGGACATCAGCCCTAAAGATGGATTGGAAGACCGAGAATTATTTAAAGAATGGTATCAGTTTTTCAATATTTGTGAAAAATATTGAGTATGATTATTCAACAAAGGAAAACTAAATTAATGTTAGTGTATAGGGACTCTATCATTGATTCTCTGGACTCTACCTCTTTATTATCCTCTTGCCACTTATAGACTTTCTGATCATTATAGTCTATAGCAAGAGTTTTATTTTTTTCTTTTATAACTATTAAACAAAAGTATGGGCTGAAGGCCACTGAATGTGCCTTAAAAAACTATCCAGGTTAACCCCCCCCCCCCAAAAAAAAAACAATTCAACTTAGAAGGTTTGGAGATGGCAATGGTCAATAATTACCTTTAGTATGGAGGTGAGTTTTATAACCAAGTTAAAGGGGTGGCAACAGGGGCAAGATATGCGCCGAGTGTGGCGATTATCTTCCTGAATAAATGGGAGGAGAAGATTTGTTTCTAAAATGTGGCCCCAACTAATCGTATTTAAAAGATTTATCGCCAATATTTTTTAATATTTGGTAGGGAGAAAAGGAAGATTTAAAAGTGTTCTTGCAATGGTTAAACACCAACCAACATGATATTAAATTTACCAGTACAATTAGTGATGAGATGGTGCATTTTTTTAGATCTTGAGATATGGGGAGAAGGACCATCGCTATTCACGTGCACCCATTTCAAAGAAACAGACAGGGGTGGATATATATCCATCAGGAGCTGCCACCATCCTGGATGGGTGAGAGCCATCCCAAAGGGACAGTTCATGAGGATTAAATGCAATTGCCAGTGAGATGAGGATTTTATGGCCAAATCAAACATGGTAATTGAAGGATTTATAGAAAAGGGGTACAAGAAGAATGAATTATAAAGAACCAGGGACCTGGTAAGAGGAATGGATAGAAAGAGATTAACTAAACAGGAAAGGAAAAAATCAAAATTCAATATCACCTTAAAAACATGTTATAATATACAATATAGGGAGGTGGAAAACATTATCAGGAAATACTGGCCAATACTATTAAGGGACCACTCCTTCAAAAATATTTTTATAAATGCACACCAGACCCCAGGAAGTGGAGCGGTGGTGCACACACGCTTCCTGTATTAGTGCCAAGATACTGGGCACCCACATCTGTAAAGTGAATTTCTTATAATTTGTGCTTCTATGGAGAGTTTTAATAAATGATACAAAATATCTTTTATGATTAATGGATTCACATTGATGGAAAGCGGTTGGATTTTGTGAAGAGTGGATACATTGAAGAAAGCTGAGCAGTGAGCTGTATCAACATTTCTGGGATACCAAGTGCTTTTTGGACCTTCCTTTTAATTAAGGTGGTCATGGATTTGTGGTGAGTGCATTGGAGTGGCACCTTTTTATAAGATCTTTTGGCACGGAGTAGACTTTATTTATTGGAGTGGGACTTTGGCATATTTAGTTTTCATTTTAAAATCTGATTATTAATAATTTATTTGGTATACTATAGTATAATTTATGGCATAGTGTGAGCACCACACTTGTTCAATATAATCACAAGGTTTCCGTGAAAAACAGCTGTAAAAGTCAGTCAGGGTTTGCAAGCACCTCCAGGAAGGCTACTATGCGATATACAGACCTGTGCTTGAATTCATGGTGGCTTCTACTAATGCTACTACTAATACTACACAAATCACCAACTTGTACTGCACTGCTGGTGATCGCCACTTCACCATGAAATACTGCAGTGCTGGTGTTTAAAAGGCCAGGATGTAATACACTGCTGGAGCTTCCCAGATCACCAAAAAGTTGTGCAGCGCTAGTAATGGAGCCCTGCTGCATCTGAGCATAATGCATGTGCTTCTAGCACTTCAGCAACATGGGGTTGGGCGAGTTATTTTAGCAGGGACCTCTTCACCATTGTTCATGCTGTCAGGGTGCCGCTGCTTTCTACAGGTTCATATTGAACCTGATTCTTACAGTGAGGCCTCTTCTTCGCTCTTATCTGTCATGCTCAGGATCCTGTACACCTCCTCACTCGTTTTTTGGCCATTTTGGGCACTAACTTTGCAGGTATGTACTATGGGAAGAAGAGCTCCTGGCTAGCAATCAGGGACTGCTTGCATGGTAGAAATAAAATGAAATACTAGTGCTAGCATGGATCAGGCCTGATCTTGCTAACACTATACTAGTAATAGCGGATATCAGTGACTTATAATGTGGTGGACAATCATGGACTGGCGCTAACACTGGTTTGGAGGGACACACTGACGCTATCTGATGTCGGAAGTGACACTAATATAGTGATCAGTGATAATACTGTACACTGTCGCTGTACTAATGACACTGACTGGGTGACAGGGATGATCAGGAGAGCAATCAAAGAGTTAAATGTGTGCCTAATAAGTGTATGGGTGCTGATTTTACTCACAGACTGGCTGGCCTTTCTTCCTGATCTCAGCTCTGAACGGTGAGTGAGATCAGGAAGCAGAACCAACCAGATCTGTGTGGTGTTTTTACTAACACACTGATCTCTGTGCTGTGGTTGGCTACAGCCATCAGCAGGTTCACAGGCAAAATCATTGGCTGTTCGCCTGCTGACAAACTCATGCTGTGTCCAGCTACAGCACAAACAGCAGGGGGAGTGCATGTGCGCCTGTAAACCTGTATGTGACCTCCTAGGATTGCCACCTCATCCCTTTAAACTCGAACACATATTAGTTACACAGGTTCTGAGGCTAATTTAATGCACATAAGGCACTAAGTGAGTTTTAATACCACCTTACATCAGCCACAGGACCTTTGGAAATAATATGTATTTGGTTTTAAAGGTATTAGTTGGCAACCCTAGTTCCCCCACGATGTGTGGGTAAGTTGCGGTGAACAGCAGAGCTGCCAGCCAGCAGTTAAACTGCTAGTCAGCAAGTGGTTAAATCCTGTGGGGTTAAAGGCTAGGGTAGGCTCAGATGTTTACACCAGCTCTAATCTGTCAGGGTTATGGATTTGTAGAACATGTATTCTTTACATTAACAATTCTTTCAAAAATCCAGAAAGGAGAAAAAAAACCAGCAGATACAAAGTTATGGTTGCTTTGCTTTTATGATGGATCATCACAAGGTCTTGCTCGGTGTCTTTTGATACAACTAAAGGGAATAGTTATAAAAGATTCTCTGGGACATTAACTGTACATTCACCCAAAATTCTGTGTTTTTTTTTTTACACAGGTCAGAACTCCTAAGGTTATTTAATTAGACTTTTTTTTAAATAATTAAAGTGATAAAACATGTTTTCCTCCTCCAGAAATAACCTACTCAGCACATCAAGTAAGGCAGCTGATATCCCATGTCAAGGGGGGCAATGAGCATGCATACCCTGCTATGTTATAACCAGCACATGTGCCTGTCAACATTTTCAGGAAGGTATAAGAGGGGTTCCTCAAAAAGCAGATATACTGTAACACATGTGCCCGTCAACATTTTCAGGAAGGTATAAGAGGGGTTCCCCAAAAAGCAGATATACTGTAACTCCCAATCACTGATGCAAAATACTGATTGGCACCCCAGTGCCCAGAAAAGAATAGCACAAGGGGGAGGGTTTATGTACCACCTGCCTGCCCTCCAGTAGGTTATCACTACACTTTGTGTACAGGATTATATTATGAATTGCATAATGCATGGTGTGGGTTCATAAACATATCATCGTTTTGTGTCTTATTCAAACCTGATCCAACTATGACATCCTGGGGATAAGTGGCTAAACACAGCTTTTTTTTTATATATTTTATTTCTCTTGTGTATAGGAGATTATACTGATTCATGTTATGTGGTCTTTTTAACTGAAAATACTGCATAGTGTTGCACTTTTATGGCTTGCTTGGTAAGATTGTTTTTTTCAAAGTCTGCATTTGAAATCACAGGTGTTTATATTCATGGACTATTCCTTGATGGAGCACGCTGGGACAGAAAAACAAAGAGGCTAGGAGAATCTCACCCAAAAATCCTCTATGACACAGTACCCGTGGTAAGTAACCTGTTTTAACGAGAAAGCATGTGTGTATTTTTCTCTGAGTGCATCAGTTTGCTGTGGTATAATAAAACACTTTAAGCATTATGTATGAATTGATTGGCCCCTTGTGCTGCTGCTTCCTCTCACACTTTAGTTCTGCTGCACAGGGATTGCAAGATGCTGATGCCGGGTCAAATTCAGGTACTTACACTGCTTGCTCTCCTTGAGAGACAAAGCTTGATGAAAAGTATACATCCTAGAGTTATACTACTTCCTACAAGAGCAATGGACATTAGGCACATAGAAAACTGAAGGCCAGTTTTCTACAGTCCTAGTGCATCCAGTTCAACCAACAGAAAAAAAAAAATACACACAACACTCACATATACAAAACATCCATATACACTATCCAAAACCCACAGTTGATCCAGAGGAAGGCAAAGTTACCTAGGATAACCCTAGGTTGCTTAATTATCAGCAACCTGTGTCCCTCACTGGACTCAGAGTAGGATTTTACTGTGACATTTGGATAGAGTAGGGGAGTTTATATTTTGATCTTTGTGTACCTGCATGGAAATTTCTCTTCAGTTCTTGTCCCAGAGACACAACGGATTAGAGGAAATCTTACAAAGTGAGGGGAATTCCCCCTCGGACATTTTCCCCCAGAAAAGGTGTCCCCATTGGAAGATTTTCCCTTACCTTATGTTCTGGGTTCATCTCCAGCATTTTGGATTTTCCTTTTTTGGATTTCCTCTCCCTTTCTGTTTTGGTGACAGTAGTCATCAGGGCAAACAGAATGGTGAATCTCTCCAGTGGGGCCACAGACAGAAATAAAAATTGACACAGCAAAGACTAAAAAAAGGTTTAGCCTAGAAATCCAATTTAATATCAGTGCCTCTAAATTTGGGCTGACAGCATTTCAAAAAAGATTTGTCCAACCCTCGGTGAATGAAACCTGGGCAGATTCACCCATTCTTAGCTGCAGGTCAGGAAATGTGAGGGTGAGTAAGGAGCATCATTAATCTCTAGTAATTCTATTTGTGATGCTTCTGATGCTAAGTCAAATAGTTATATTATGTAGCGGTAGCCAGAAGGTGAAAACTCGAGGTAACAAAGACATCAGATGTGGGGATCGTGTTGAAGATAAACCGTGAAAATGGCTGATTTATCCAGAAACAAGGTCTCCTTTAGAGAAGGCAATGCTGGTGTCAGTGATACCCTAGATTCCTTAACTACATCCAGACTGGATGAATTCTGACATTTCTTTCATATATATATAAAAATTAGCACGATATTTGTACAGCAGTTTATCTAATGCAAATTTTTGGAAATAACACTTAAATGAATTTTAGTGCACACAGACACAATATAATGCCCAATTTTTTGGTAAAACATAAAAGATGTTACTGTCAGGGCAGGGCTGTGGAAACGGACAGGTAGGCCTAGTGGCAGGGGGTAACGCATGGCTGACGACAACCACCACCACCAACAGACTGAAGTCCCTCAGGGCGCGGAGTCTAAGTCCCAGGCTGCCCTTCACCAGGGCCCCTGATGGTGGGGATGGACTTGACGCAACCAGGGACCAGGTCGCGGCCCCCGAAAAACCCCAGCTGCGGTAATGGTGCCGCCAATGGCGTGTAGTTGGTGAAATGACAATAGCGTAGTCAGACAAGCCGGGTCAATAACAACGGGACAAAACAGTACAGAACAGTTTTAGAGAATCACAGGTCACGGGCCGGGTTCAGCAACGGAAGGTCAGATCAAAGGGAAACGCAGAGAATGGTCTTAGTCACAAGCCGAGTCAGAATACCAGAAGAGTCACGAGCGTATACACAGAGCTGTAGCAAGACAAAGACACAAGACACAAGTGCAAAGAGCATGTGCAGATCCCAGGCTTATATGTACTCAGCCACACCCCTCTGGGGGATGGACCTCAGAGACCTGAAGGCATAAAAGATTCCCATCATGCTCAGCAGAAATCCAAGATGGATGCTAGCACATGGAGTAACATAACCTCTGGGAAAAGGTAGGACCTTGACAGTTACATTGAGAAATAGATACATAACATGTCACACTTTAAAATTGTGGAACGGCACCAAACTACACTACCTAAAAATCTCCATAGGTGGTGCTGTAAAAGCCTTTTACAGTTTACCATTTTAGAGTTACACAGCTGGTCTGGCAATAATAATCATTTTTACTATGATGTTCACAACAATACATCAAATGTGTGTTGTGATCACTGTTTACATATGCGTGTGGGACCTACGTGCGCTTTGCATTTGCATGGGGAAGGGGGGGGGGGGGGACAGGAGCACGTGAATTTTTTTTACAATTTTTTTTATTTATTGTTATATAACAAGTGATGAACAACATCCCTTGTGATAGCATGGGCTGTGACAGGTCCTCTTTATGGAGAGAGCTGGGGTCTATTAGACCCTGACTTTCAAAGCATTCATTCTGTCCTCTGGCAAACCATGTATGGACAGTTATAAGGCGGAATCCAAGACAACAGGTAAATGTTTCTTACACACAAGTGTTACTAAACCCACAATAGTAAAATAAGTCTGTATATGCAGTAAAGCATGCTTGTTATACTCACAGTGGATTTTAAGGGGTTAATCCTCCACATTGTGTAAAAAGGCTGTTTGATCCTGTCTTCTCTGATCCTCCCATTCTTCTACTGTCCCCAGTCCATCTGCTGATAGTACAGAAGGCTAGGAGCCATGCTGCACATGCTCAGTTTAGTGCATTGCTAGAGAGTTTGTTTTTATCTTTGGGAAGATGCATGTGATCAGCACAAGGCCAATCAGCACTGTCCAGACAGAGGGTCAGGGGTTATGCAGCCTCATAGGTCAATCAGAGCAGAATGAAAACTCCTCCTTAACCAGTGCTCAGCCAGACACTGATAGAAGTCACAAGGCTGCTATATACTGCCAATGAGATAAGATATTTAGCAGTTTATATTTATTAAAACAATAATATTTCTATGTTGTGTGTACTGTGGGAGACCAGCTATAGTGAATTCAGGGTCCTGGGTTTAGTAACAGTTTAACCTTTCTAGATAGCCAATTTTCACTTTTTAAGCTTAGGTCTACATTGGGTACCTATGGAAAAAAAAATGGGCATTAGCCCCGTATGGTGCCTAAAATTGTCCACCTCAGACAAATAATAATTACAGACAAGTGATTACACAAAATTCCCAGTAAAATGACAATGTTATGATGCATAAAAAAACTAAACTGGAGGACTTGTATTGATAAGGTGATATATTTACTGGTCATGTATTAGCCAAATTTATGATAAACTAACAACACCTTCTACTGGAAGAATAAATGTTTAGTCTGATGTATGACTAGATTTAGTCTGAGAAATGACAATATACAGTCTCAAGAATAATGACATTCAGACTCAGAAGTGAATATCATCAGTGGCAATTATGATGTTCAGTCTGAGGAATGATGATATTCAGCCTAATTACAATATTTCATTCTGATATATGATGATGTCCAGAACAGTTTTTTTTTAAAGATTTGACAGCTTCATTGATCTTAAATCAGCCTGATTGTTGGTAGAGAACAGTAGTACCCTCTAGTGAATTATGTTGTTTTGCAGTGTAAGTATTGATATCCACTCAGAGGAATGATGTTATTCTGTTTCTGATATTACATGATGAACCTTAGGCAAGCATAAAAGAAATTATTGTGTCTCAGTAATATTAATACATAAAGAATTTTTTTTTAATGCAAGCAAATACCTGAATTTGATTTGGTGGTAGCCTCCTAAAGCCCTTGTATTACAAGACTGGAGCATGAGAGGAAGAAACAGCAAAATTAGTCAATCAGCTCATGTGATCACAAGGAGGAAAACTCCAAGTGACAGAAAGATGAGCTCATCACTGTGCTGCTTCTCCTTGCACTGCCCAGTCACAGGCTGTGTTGGGTCCATGATAGCTTTGGGTCAGAGGAAATGGGTTAAACTGTGCTGGCTACCAGACTAACGCTGGCCCTAAAGCTTTTTTTTTTTTATGTCATTCAGTTAGCGGGCTAATTGAATAAGAAAAAAAAAGGGATCCTCCATGCATACAAACAAGTGGATGGTGGAATCTCTCACCCCCACCACCACCACCGGACATTGCAGTCTTGCAGCCACTGATAAAAAGAAAACTTTCCAACATGTCGCTTTCACAGAAGTCAATCGAACGATCAACTTCTGGTGAGTAGCGATTGCCACACACTCATTCTGATTTGCCCAGTCTCTGCTGAACTGGCTGAATTTTGATTAGTGTATGGCCCACTTAAGATACAGTTAATGTCAGAAAAAATTACTGTTTGAGGGCAGCTCTGGAGTTAAAATGATACTAAACCCAGGACCCTGCATGCACTATATCTGGTCTCCCACAGTACACACAACATGGAAATGCAATTCTTTTAGTAAATACAAACTGCTAAATACCTTTTTTTCATCAGCAGTTAGAGCAGTCTTGTGACTTCAGCAGAGCGCTGGTTAAAGCTCGTAGGAGTTTTCTTTCTGCTCTAGGAGGATGTGAAACCCTTGACCCTCTGTCTGGACAGTGCCGATTGGCCCTGTGCTGATCACATGTATTCTCTCAAGAAAAGGAAAAAAACCCTCTAGCAATACACATCAAACTGAGCATGTGCATGTGACTATGGATTCAGTCTGTATCAGGTGGTCATTTCAACAAGAGGAGGGGCAGAAAAGAAAGGATCAAACAGCCTTTTTACACAATGCAGAGGATTAAGCCCTTAGGTTTCCACAGTGAGTATAGCAAGCATGCTTTACTGCATATACAGACTGATTTTACTGTTGTGGGTTTAGTAACACTTTAAGGTTAATTTTGCTGCAAAAGCTGCTTTATCTTTTAATGGATTATTTATTTTTATCTTATTTGTGACTGCAGTTCTCAGTAAGTACCATAATAAATGATCATAAAACTGATCTAAAAAAGAATGAAGGAACAGTAATTTAATGCATGCACAAAAGCCTGCCTCTGG